CGAACGTTTGCGAAACTTAGGAGACTCTCCTCCCCGCACGCGGAAATTCCGTTAAACCCGATACGAGAAATTCTGTACGAACGAAATTCTATCGATACATTTATCTACCGACATTTATTGTTCCATGCGACCTAAATCTGGGACCGGGCGAAATTTCTATCATTTGCGCAAATTAAATTTAGCGAAGCGAAATTTGTGCGAATGCTATACATACGTTTATGTATATGTTTTCTGTATATATAACATCGCCGATCGCGAAATCATTTTTATTCACGTCCAATAACGACGCGGAAACGTATATAGGGAATCACAATTAAGCGACGATTCGTTTCGACTGGAACGACAATTTTTTTTCTTTCTTATCCGTGAAAGCCTATAAATAACGCGACTCTCGATGTTGAATCGAGAATTTTTCTTTAGCTGGTTCTTTATCGTCGTCCATTTGCAAATGACTCATCCACACAAGCGCAGCAATTCTTCAATAAAAGAAAATCAATGACGATTGCTCGCCTTGACGACAAAATTGTCGAGAATTTCGAGTATAACTGAACACGTTTGAGGGAAAAGAGGATAAATATTTCAAGGGGGACCCTTGAAATTTTTGTGAGAAAAATAACTCACGATTTATTTCATCTCGATAGGCTTATCGATCCCTTTAATGACTATTCATATTATCTGGACGGATTAAATTGCCGGAATTCAAGAGACTCTTTTCCGTCTCATCGAGGAAAACGAGCCTTGTTTAATTACGAAAACGATATGCATTTTTAATATCACAATAATGTATTTTTATTTAAATTATATTATCAATATAATTTATTATTTATTTAAGTTATATTATTAATATAATTTATTTTTTATATTTTAATTTATAATTTGTTTTGATATTTTAAATAAAAAATAAATTACATTACAATATAATTTATTTTTTATTTAAATTATATTATCAATATAATTTATTTTTGACATTTTAATTTATTTTTTATATTTTAAATAAGAAATAAATTATATTATCAATATAATTTATTTTTGACATTTTAATTTATTTTTTATATTTTAAATAAAAAATAAATTATATTATCAATATATAATTTATTTTTAACTTCAATTATATTTTTGTAAATATCGTATAATGTTTGAAGCTGCGCATTGTAAAGAGAAATATGTAGCTTATTTCAACGTATAAGTTATTATATATATGATGTATAGAGATTATATACTTGCTTCACTACTTATTGCAGAGCTTATTGACATTTTCCATCTCGTAATTTCGCATTTATTACTCTCTTTCTTCCTCCCTCTTTATATATTAGCTGGATTTAATTCAAGTTTATCCGTCAGCGAGCGTCAGCCTCTCTTAAGTAATTTCGATTGATTCCGGGAACTCGTGATTCCAAGTACTTTGGATTCCGAAAACATTGTCCGAGGATTGAGAGTGACTCATTACGTCGATTGAAAAGAAGGAAAATCTTTCCGCCTGCATCTGAGGGAAACGTAGCAATGAAATGATAGAGACAATGCGACTGCTGATGAAAGCAAAATAATCTCAATATTATCCTCCGAGAAAAGGCTCAGAGAAGATTGTAAAAAAGGGGAATTTATTTTTGCGAAACTGCCGTTTCCATTCTTTTTGATACAACGACGTCGACGATATATATGTATATTGTAATCGTTCGTTTTCTCGTTGGAAATATCGCGATCGAACGATGCGTCGGGGAATCGAACGGCAAATACTCGAACAGTCCATAATGCCAAAAAGAATCCGATACGCCGGTAATCGAACGTACTTTCTCGTAAGTACCGAAGAGATTTGAAAAGAAATCTCGTATCAATATATTTCGCAGTTGGTCGATAAAAGAATGTAGGCATTTTTTTTTTGACATTTAACAAAAACGAGATATGTTTCGAGAGCCTTAAAATCATTATATTTTAATATATTTTTTGAAGTACATTCTTCAATCTTTTGAGAAGATTGTTAAAGATATGTCGAAAATCGTATTTTGCGTTGCTCAATTTTTTTTCTATATTAAATATGGAAAAATGTAAAATATCTCATAGCTTTTTTACTAATTCTTCATTAAATAATTATTTTGCCAATGTTAATATTAAATGTTTTATCATATAATATGTTATTAATATCATATAATATTTTAATATATTTCTTGAAGAACATTCTTTAATCTTTCGAGGAGATTGTTAAAGATATGTTGAAAGTAGTTTATGTTGCTCAATTTTTTTCTATATTAAATATGTAAAAATGTAAAATATCTCATAGCTTCATTAACTAATTCTTTATTAAATAATTCTTTTGCCAATGTTAATATTAAATGTTTTATCATATAATAATTTATCTAATATTTTATTAAATGTTTTATTATATAATAATTCATATAATATTTTCTCATATAATAATAATCGGTTTTTTAAAAATAAATCAAAGTAATACAATATGCAAATACAAGACTTCACTGATGCATTAATCAAACTAGCTTGTTTTGATTGAAAAGAAAGAAGATTTGCATTTGTGGTCTGTGATTGCAACCGCCAAATTTCGTGTCTTTTTTTCAAGAAAATAGAAACTAATTTAAAAAATGTTTCCAGCCTTATTCTCTGAACTTTTTTTCACGGTGGAAAAATATGAACAGTCTAAATATATCTTAGACCTTCCTTTTGTTGTTTTTTGTTAACCGGCGTGCTATAAACGCCTCATCTCGAAAACGTTTCACATTAAATAATAAAGGAAGAGTTTAAAACCCGGACAGAGAGATGTTGGACCGCGCATATTTTTCCATCATTAAAAAAAATTGTGCGCAATAAAGTTGACTTTTATTTTTTAAAAAAGGAAACGAAATCTCTCGTGGACGAGATAATGGACCGAAAAAAAGTTCAAATATGTTTAATATTAAATATTTAAATATTTAACAAATTAATACGTTTAAATATTTTCGTCTTTAATACGAAGTATTTCGATCCTTAATATCAGATTCGTCATTAATACTGTTTCGGATCGGTCGGTTGTCAGCGCCGTTGACTGAAGGAGGATCCGAGTAAGTAGAAACTAGTGCCACTAGGGAGACGGACGAACAGGAGTGTACCGTGAGTGTGGTCTGACATATATACCTATCTAATCAAGGATGCCTGTCGCATATCGTTACTCCGATTTATCGAACATCTTGACATTTGTGAATGAAAATTTAGTTTCCCGAGAAGCTGTTTATTTTCAATTATTATAAAAATATCGGGGTTCGAAAAATGTAAAATTGACTAAACAATTAAAAAGCGCGCGGATGAGCGAGATAAATCCGACAATGAGATATCCTGTGTGTGTACGTGGCATTATACACCCCGACGAACATTTCACCCTTTTCATCTATATATATATATATATATATATATATATATATATACACACACAAATATACATACTCACATATATATATATATATATTTATTTTTTGTAATTAGATTTTAATATATATTTAATTTTAATATATTATATATATGTATATATATATATATAATTTTTTCATATAATTTTATAATATATACAGAGAAGAGTAAAAAAATTTTACTAAAAATCACTCAAGTTTATAATCACGTATTAAAATAAAGTATTAATTTCAATGGATAATTATAAATTTTAAAAATCTATTTATTTTTATTTCTCTTTAATTAATAATAAATATTAAGCACTATATTTTGTTGTGGAAACACGAAAATTATTTTATCTTTGCTTGAGAGAAACCTATAACGAAAGAAATTATCACGAATGTTATTGTTAGGGCGAAGGGAAACAAAACACAAGACGAGAAAGCATGTATTGTCGCGATGAAGAATAGAAAAAGCGCAAACTCGCTCTTCCAGCCATATAAAAAGAGTGTGCAAATTGCACATTGCTTCCTCACCATTTTATTTCGCTTATTAAGATGGTTTTTTAATTATGGCTTTTTCATAGAGAAAGCTTAACTTACACAAAATAAAATGACGTAAAGGCAAGGTGCAAGTCGTTTTACCAATCATTGCCAAACTCAATTCCCAACCATTCTTTAATAATAATCTATTCATATAAAAATAATTAAGCTCGACATCTCAAAAGTTTCCAAAATTAAAAAAATGCATATATCTAAATGCATTATTCTAAATTTAATAAAAAATTAATCCTTGAAAAAGCAAAAAAATGCATATTTCTTAAAATTCTAAATTTCATAAAAAAATAATCCTTGAAAAAGCAAAAATGCATATTTCTTAAAAATTCTAAATTTCATAAAAAAATAATCCTTGAAAAAGCAAAAATGCATATTTCTTAAAAATTCTAAATTTCATAAAAAAATTAATCCTTGAAAAAGCAAGAAAATGCATATTTCTTAAAAATTCTAAATTTCATAAAAAAATTAATCCTTGAAAAAGCTAGAAAATGCATATTTCTTAAAAATTCTAAATTTCATAAAAAAATTAATCTTTGAAACAGAAGAAAAATGCATATTTAAAAAAAAATTTAAATTTCATAAAAAATTAATTCTTGAAAAAGAATAAAAAAATGCATAGTTCTGAAAAATTCTAAATTTCCAAAAAAATAATCTTTGAAAAAGCCAGAAAATGCATATTTCTTAAAAATTCTAAATTTCATAAAAAAAATTAATCCTTGAAACAGAAGAAAAATGCATATTTTAAAAAAATTCTAAAATTCCTAAAAAATTAATTCTCGAAAAAGAATAAAAAAAATGCATATTTCTGAAAAATTCTAAATTTCCTAAAAAATAAATCCTTGAAAAAAAGAAAAAAAAAAGAGCGAAAGAGTGAGAAAAAAAGAGGGAGGGAGGGGGAGAAATCGTTGGCGCGCGCGACGATCCCGGGTGGAAGAACGAAGAGGCGTCGAAGAGGGTCGAGGGCGAAGGGACGGGGGAGGGCTGGAGGGCCTGGAAGGGTGCCTAGGACGCGGTGGGGGTGGGTCGGGATTGGCTTTTCGCGAATGTGAAACTCAGTAGTACGCTACCACCCACGCACGTAGTACGCACGTTCGCTCCACGTGTGCTCCGTATGTCAAAGTTATCCCCCATTTCTCTCTCCTTTTCACGTCCAGCGTGTGCGATCGACGGAAAAACCCGGGGGACGACAGAGATTTGACGTGTGTAACTTCATAGGAGTGAACCAGCGACCAGCTGGGAAGCTATTCGACTCGCGGAGAGATAAGGGAGATACATTCGGGATTACACACATGTCAACTGTCATTATCGTAACGAAATATATTATTACGTCGAGTGGAAGACGGAGGGTGCGATTCTTTGACGTATAAAAAGTGAGGAGATCGAGGGAGGAAGGTACATTCGGAGGGAGGATAGACGAGAGCACAACTGGACGAACTGTCACGAGGGATAAAACATTTTGGCGAACATCGCGAGAGAAAAAAGCCAGATGCAACGCGAGCTTCTATTGGCGTGATTTCGCCGTCGGAAATTCGTTGACAATTCTCTGTCGGATGGTAAAAGGATGCGTTTGAAGATCTCGACCACATGCCCGTGATAGAAATATTCGAGATGACGAAATTACATGAGGCGAGGCAGAGAACTTCTCACGTTTTCGATGAAACGACAGACTTCCTAAGGTACGGATTTCCCTGAAGGAATCAAGAAGATCGAGGACTCCGATCGTCTTTGGCATAAAGTAAGTTTCGAGAGAAAAAATTCATTAGACTAGTTTACAAGAATTTTCAATTAAGATATAGCAGCTATTTTTAATAGAGTAAAATAATTTCCCAGTGTTTTCACGCTAAAAAGAATGACTAAATTAATACATATTTAGTTCAATACTGTCAAATAAATTATTTATTTGAAACAAATAAATATTTATTTGTTTTGGAAAGGATTTTCTTATATGAAATAAATAGTTTTTATCATATCGAATAAATATTATTAATGTCAAATATAAATTATTTATTTGACAGTATTGAAATAAATACTTATACAAATTAACTAAATTTTTTTTCAGTGCATGACAAAATATAGTCTTTAATGTTTATTATTAATTAAAGAAAAATAAAAATAAAGTAATAGATTTCTTTCTAAAATAACAATCTGTTGAAATTAATACTTTTTGATTGATTTTTAGTAAAATTGTTTACTCTTTTCTGCATGTATTATATAATTATATGAAAAAATATATATATATATATAAGTGTGTATTTGTGCAAGTGTTATATGTATAGATTAATTATCATCTTAATTAACGATTGATATTGTATAGTTTCTTTTAATTTGTTTAACTAGAAATCTTTATATCTTATTCATATATTTGCATCTATTTTATATATTAATCTTTATAAATGTTATTGTATATTGTATTCTATATAATTATTATTTATTTTTCTTACAATTCAATAATATCTAATCTATAATATTATTTAAAATATTATTTGACCATTATTCGTTTAGTCATTATTTCTACATTTATTTCAATATTACATTATTGTAAAAAAAATCAATATATAGCAATAAGAGAACAAATAATAATAATAATGCACGAATGATAAAAGATAACGAATAAAATGTGATAATTACGCTCATAATCATGAAGATTACAATATGACATTACAATCTGCGGGTATAGAATGAGTTGCCTAATGGCAGCAACAGATATATATTTTTAATGCAATCAAAGAGATAAAGCTTTTTCAATTTTATCTGTATGAATTACATGGTTATTTTATTTCAATTCCATATTTTTCCGTATATTTCTCGAGAAACTTACCAAAATCCAATAAAAATGAAATCGATAGAGTGATGTTGAGATAAAAAAATGTTTACATGTAAATTTTATATACATATGTAGTTTTCGATATATGATTTTATACATTTTCTAGCTTAAAAAGAATAAGTTACTGACGCTTTAACAATTTGTCGATGCAAGTATGCCAAGATAGGAGATGAAAAATGTCTCCCGTCGAATTCGAAGTCTGTACATGCCGGGATCTTATATCACTTTGTATCGAAAAATTATGTAACGCCATACCATCATTTACTTGTTCAATAAAATAAAATAAATGTATTATATAAAAAAAGACATAAAGAAATCAATAATTTAATTTTAACAACATTGAAGCAAACAGAGAAAAGATACTAAATTTTCTTTTTAGATATTTTACATAATTTCGAAGATTGATCTGAAAGACGGAGAATAATAAGTGGAATTCTATTAATATCAATTCCCAACTATTTTTTAATAATAATCTATTTATATAAAAAAATTAAGCTTGACATCTCAAAAAATTTCCAAAATTAAAAAAATGCATATATCTAAAAAATTCTAAATTTCATAAAAAACTAATCCTTGAAAAGGCAAAAAAATGTATATTTCTTAAAAATTCGAAATTTCTTATATCACTTTGTATTGCAAAATTATGTAACGTCATACCATCATTTACTTGTTTAATAAAATAAAATAAATGTATTATATAAAAAAGACATGAAGAAATCAATAATTTAATTTTAACAACATGGAAGCAAACAGAGAAAAGATACTAAATTTTCTTGTTATATATTTTAAACAATTTCGAGAATTGATTTAAAAGACGGAGAATAATAAGTGGAATTTTATTAATATCTGTTGCGACTCTTAATGCGTAGGATTTAACATTTTGTAATTTTAAACTTGCATTATAATATTCGTTCATCCGCCATCGATATCGAATATTGCATCATTACGTTTGAGTTCCTCCCTTATTGCGTTACTTTCTCATTAAGCAAAAATAATCGGCTTAATATTATGGCTCTCGAACGGAAATTCAATTTATTACATTTTCGTGGTGTATATATTGCGCGAAATGAAAATGTAAGGAGCACGAAGTGGATATTACTCGCGCCTGTCCCTCATCTTTTTCGTTCCTCTGACATGAAATAAGAATTCACTTTCAATTACTCAAGCTTAGCGTCATAGAGCATAGAAAATTGCAATTGAGAGAAATAGAGGGAAAACGCGAATAATATAAAAATTATAATAAACCCGCATAAATTACCGCTGAAATTCCACATTGTTGGTGGTTTCAAACGGTTCCAATTACAATTATCCTTGAACAAAAGGTGATTTCCATTACGCGTATCGGTTGCAGGTGTGGATTTGGTTTTGCGAAGTAACTAAATAACGTTCGTGGCTACCCTGATGCGTCGATGAAGCGTGTGTTCGTCTTCATTAAATGCAAAGACGTTAATTGAATATTCCACGAAACGTAATACCGCTGTGTCTCATAGGGAGGAAAATATACTGCGCATTATTTGCGATTACAGTCCAAGTGTTGTGGCAATCATCGATTTTAATATCAAATTCATGGTCACACATGGTGTGACTTGTGCGGACGCTTCGCACATGTGTGATAGATTTATTTTATTTAGAAAACGTTACACGCGACTCAGAATTTATTATTTAATATTAAAATATAATTATAAAAATATTATATATTATATATTATATAATATAATATATATTATATATAAGATATTATATATTATATATAATATATAATATATAATATATAATGTATAATATATAATATAATATATAATATATATAATATATTATATATTAGAATATAATATCGACATTACATGTGTGTTAGAATTACAATAGAATATATCTATATAAGAAACATTAAAGTTATTATTATATAGTAATATTAATTATTATTGCAGAAAATTAAAATTTGAGTTTTACTATTATACAATATTTGTGTGACACAATAATGTTCTATTTATAAATAAGATATATCTTTCTAATTATTTATTTAACACCAAAGTATTTTACAATCGTGAAATATTCTGTAATTTTTAATAAATGTGATTACATTTGCATTTTTCTCAAATTTAACTATTATCAAAAATCTTACTTATTATTATAGAACGTTTAAATTTAAGTTTCATTATTGTAGAAAAATATTACACAATATTCGTGACACAATAATGCTCCATTTATAAATGCTTCCATTTACATATTTTCAGGTATTTCTTTAACATTGTAACACAAGAGCATTTTACAAGAGAAATATTCTGTAACCTTTAATAGATGTGATGACATTTTTTCTTCAAATCTACCCATTGCGTTCAATGTATACGTTTGTCACATAATATCATTACAATGTAATTTTGTAGGATGACACGATGGATTTTCGCTATCTTCCTTACGCGTATTTTTCTTGCGACGGGTTAGGAAAAAGTGTCGATCGCCTGGGATAAAGATAGGCGAGATTCTGGCAGAAGATTGAACGTCCGCGACAAAAGCCGACGTTATAAAGCTTCAAACCACTGGCTTACAAACTGTTGACATGATATTACCTACACACTTCGTGATTTATGTTATATTTTTACTTTTAATACTTCTAATTTTTTTTTTTTATTATAAAATCGGAATATTCGGAATGTCATTATTCCTTCTCGAGTTATCGATGCTAATGCGTAAAACATTTTTTCAATAAAATTAAAATTATATTACTCGTGAAATTATTCTGTTTTGTTATGCGATTATAGAAACAAAATAATTTACGAGACAATAATTGTGTAATCTTGACTGAAATCAGAAAGTTTGTGCAATATTAAGGTCTCGTTATTTAAAGGACAATGTAATATATATATTAGCTATATATAATTTCTCTTTTAAAGGGATAAGTTATATTCACAATTTCAGTCAACATGGCGGTCTCTTTTGTATGAACATTGTGTATCTTTTACGAAGGAAACGCAATTATGCTTGCAACGTACTAAAGTTTCGAAAGGATGACACATTAGAATTCATTGACTCTCTTTTTAACGCGGCATAAAGAAAATATCGATCGCAATGATAAAAGATATATGCCGGGAATATGAAATAATGACACATAATATATGAAAGAGTTTATATTACAGTTTGTTTTAAAGAAAATTGCTTTTCTGGGCAATTAATATTCTACGGTTTATTTTCTCAAATGACAGTAAGACAGTTAATATTTTTTTGAAGAATTACTCAGAATATTTCTCGAATTTAAGTTATTTTTCTACAAAATATTTGCACTAATGTTTTCGATGGTTTTAAACATGTCATAAATAAAAATTTAAACAAATTATTTTTTCCCAAAATTTTGTTAAAATACATTGTTTAAAAAATAAAAAAAATGATAAAATAATTCAGTACACGCAATAATAAAAATGTCATAAATCAAAATTGAAATAATGATTTTTTCCCTAAAATTTAGTTAAAATACATCGTTTAAAAAATAAAAAAGATTGATAAAATAATTTAGTACACGTAATAATAAAATACCTATACATTTCTTGAACGTGTCATGCAAGTGGAATCGTGGTTACTTTATTTTCTCAAATGACAGTAAGATATTTAATTTTTTTTAAAGAACCATCTCTCATTCGACTCAGAATATTTCTCGAATTTATTTTTCTACCAAATATTTGTATAATGTTTTTGATGGTTTTAAAAATATCATAAATAAAAATTGAAACAAATGATTTTTCCCTAAAATTTCGTTAAAATACATCATTTAAAAAATAAAAAAATTTATAAAATAATTCAGTACACGCGCAATAATAAAAATTGAAACAAATAATTTTTTCCTTAAAATTTGGTTAAAATACATCGTTTAAAAAAATAAAATAATTTAGTACACGCAGTAATGAAATACCTATACATTT